TGTGCTCCGCGCTCGGGTGAGGGAAGAACGCGCCCGGGTGAGGATACGGGTGAGGATACGGCTTTTCCTCTCGGCGCCGATTATCTCGTGAGGCTTCATGGAGCAGCGCTAAAACCCGTGCCTGGGGGGAGAGCTCGCATGCGGTGGGGAGCAGGTGATGTTCGGGGGGAGCGAAGGAGCCGGCCGCCTTCGCTCCGGAGGCGACGGTGCCATCGTGATTGCAGTCGGGTATTGAAAACCGCCGATGCTCCCGGCTGAAACCAGCGGTACCGGTTGCTATCTCAGTTAGGTGTCACTGGCGCTACGTTCTTAATTGGCAAGAATTCGTGTTCTAGCGAAGCAGCCTGCTTAAAAATGAACTCGTGCACCTAACTCGGAACGCGAGGTGCGCAGCCTCTTAAACGGGGCACTGGCACGCTTGTTCGCTGGTCGGCACTAAACAGCCCAATTTGCTGCTGACCGCTTAATGGCATTAAGTGACAGCTGTCAGCTCAAGACAGAAGCGGGTCGTTCGCCGAGTAACGGAATAGGTAGAGCAGCCCGTCAAGATTGCAGAAGAAATTTCTCAGAAGTGACTCAGTTCTAACAGAATTCTGCTCCGCGTGCTTTTCTTACCTGATCTTTAAAGATTAAAACCATTAAGAACAAACAAACAAACAAAAAAAAGGTGAAGTTTTGAGTCAGTCTGTTTGGCAGCTTCCCCAGTTGGTCAGGTCCCTTCTGCACAGCCGAAATAACATCATGTCACGGGAAGAGAGTGACTCAATTTAAAATACAATCTTATTCTTAAAAAACAGAGTATATTCTCCTGGTTGTAGTCCTCAGCAGATTTGTCTAGTGGTAGAGTCGTTTCTTTCATTTCAATGTAGGGTGTCTGTGTTATCTGAAGACATTTTTTACTTACAGGTACCAAATAATTTTGATCATTTGTGGTCCTTTGTTGTACGTATGCATGCTAATTCTAGTGAGAGAATATCTGTTAAGAAGGGCGTTCCATGGCAGGATAAGCTATAGGAAAGAGATTTTTGCTTTTGGTTTGCTTAAATTGAGGTAATTAGCCAACTTTTATTTGATCTAGATTTTGAAATGCTTGCATTAATAATCTCATGTACTATTTAAACCAGAAAGCTCACAAGAGTGGAACAGAATTATGTTTTTCTTGGTAGTTACCTGGTAGTAAGTCCTGAAGCAAATGCACTTCCTGCAGACAATTACCTATTTTTTTCTGACGTGTGATTGCAACCATAAAAAAGAAATATATTATCTGCAGAGGTTCAGATTCAGCTGGAGCTCTCGAGTCCTTCATTTTCCTTGCCTTTAGTCTTTGTAATGTAAATTATCTCTAACGCAAGCGTACAATATCAGTCCTGGAGTTTAAGATTAGAAATTCCTTAGTGTCATGAGGCAGTCAGTCATGCCAGTCATGAGGGATGCACTCTAATACTGGTGTCTAAGTGGCTGCTCTTGAATGCTGTTTCTACAGTACCTGTTTTGATTGCTTTTTCACCACTTCTGATTCTTAGGTGAGACATCTGTATATTTGTGATTTTCACAAGAACTTCATTCAAAGTGTCAGAAACAAAAGAAAGAGGAAGACAAGTGATGATGGAGGTGACTCTCCTGAGCATGAAACGGATGTCCCGGAGGTTAGTAGGTGCCAAGTGGGTGTAAGATGCTTTATCAATTTTGAATGTGTTGAATTTTGACTTGGATGTTTTCACGTATTGGGAAATAATTAAATTTTGAATTGCAACTCCACTGAAACTGCTATGGAGTTACTCTCATTTTTCAGGAAGACTTTTTTTCCTGATGTGTAGTATCCTAATTTTCTTCTTCATCCCTGTATGAGTTCTTTCCCCATGTAAAGTTTTCTATAAAAAGGGGTGTGATAAGGTAACTGCACAGCTTCATGTATGTACTGCTTCCAAACAGAGAGCTGTTAAAACAGTATTTGATACTAATTCTTTTTCAGAGGTAAAAATAAGCTATTTTCAGTGGTGACTGAGGCCCTGAGATGGTTCTTTGTTACCTAGCATGCATCATTTTGCAAATACACTAGAGAATCCAATAGGTCAGTCTCTGTTTGGCTATATGATATCCAGGGATATTAAGCTTCTCCAGACATTCACATTTACGGTACTTTTGGCACTATTTAAAACTACCTTCAAATAATTCGTAACATCTTTTTATTTTCAGGAAATAGGCCTTTTCTTGGGTTTGTTTTTTTTTTTTCTCTGTGTTACAGAACTCTAGAATAATCTCTTCTCTGTGCCATTGTGTTCTGTATTTGCTTTGGTGATGTTTCTGGTACTGTTGACGCTGCAAAAAGTTGTGCAGAGGTGATGTTCATGGAGGAGCTGAGCTCTGGCCACGTCAGCAGAGCCCTCTGCTGGAAATACCACCCGTATTGGCAAAAAGCATTTTATTTCTGAAAAAAAGGCCACCAAGAATCGTTTTGCCAGCAAAGCTGTGTCTTGACTGCAAAGCCGTGTCCACACACCTCCTGTGTGGAGGTGTTGAAAGAGTAGCAAGTTTTTGGTTTGTTTTGTTTTTAAGGATACCTGACCTTTTGTTGTAGCTGTTTGTGTTTCCATTCTACAAGGTTCTCTGTCAAAACTTTCCTATACAGGCTTTACATTAGTTGCCCGGATGATTGGTGAAGACCCAGCTGGCATCTAAAAATGTTAGTGCTGTAGAGCATGCAGGGTATTTGGTGGTTAAAAACCGAGGGATGCACGTCACCTAACTGAATAGGGAACTCTGTAGTGTGTCAGTTTTAATGTAATTTTCTTCTTGCTTTTCAGCAGAGATTCCCTTTGTCTTTGAAACATGGCATTTCCCACATGATCTTCATCTTCCTTCCTGTAACCTCCCCCACCACCCCCCTTGCTTTTAAACTGTGCACATCCAATTTAAGTATTTGAATTTCATTTCTTCTCTGCCTCTGTACTCTGTTTTATGTCACAAGCCATTTGTTCAGTGCCTGCTAAATTGATATTTCATGTGTGAGCTTTTTAAACCTTGTGGGAACAAAAGGTTCCCTTTTGCTTGGAGGTTGCAGAGGTGTAATTGAGAGCAGAAATTGGCCAGCAATTCTGTTGACAGCATGTGAACCAGAACAAAATTTTGTATTTCCCTGAGGCTATTTTGGTCCTTTAGCATTAACAAATACAAAATATACTTAGATTTGTCAGTAAGGCAAGCCAGTGTGGTTCTGAATGCAGGCAGGGAGCAGTGCTGTTGAGGAAGAAATAGTTATTTTTAGATAACTCTACATTTCTGCCTAATAGAAGCTAAAGGTAGTGCTCATCCCCTCTTCTCTGCATCACTTCCAGGTTGACTTGTTCCAGCTCCAAGTAAACACTCTGCGACGTTACAAGAGACATTATAAGTTGCAGACTAGGCCTGGACTCAACAAGGCTCAGCTAGCAGAGGTAAGTGACGACAGAGGTAGTTCCCGTCTCCGTTATTAAAAAACTTTTTATCTCCTCTGCTGAAGTGCGCATTTCTTGGACACTAATACCTGTAGTGACTCTCTCGCTAGTATGTACCATGTGCTCTGCAAAAGGTTTCGGGGGATGATGCCAACAGAAAGCTGCGTGCTTTCTTTCACCTGAGACAGTCATGGAATACATGGAAGCTGGCTCTTGAAAGCATGTTTTAGTAACTTGCTTTTCTCTGCTTCCTTTCCCTCCTTGCTCACAGTCACAATCTGTTACCTTTAGGGAACAGAAACAGAAGGTAGTTTCCAGCAGCTTAGGTGTTAACTGAAGATGGCTGTTGTACTGAAACTCAGACTTACACACTACTAGTCACCTTAAGTGCCCATGTTAGTTTTTCTTTCCTCACAAGCACTTCAACTGGTTGGAATTGCTTCTTATTAAAGGCAAAATCACTGACCACAACTTCAGATTTCTTATTTCCCTCTCTTGTCCTATGATTCTGTATTAAGTCAATAAAAGGCTCTTTCCTTAAGGGCCTCTACTGCTGCTTCCTCACTATATGGGGTACTTGTTAAGAAAGAACTCTGTTACTCTTTGTTATTTGGGCTAGTTGTGCTTGGTGTGCATCTGCTCTGCTCTCTTTCCTGACCTGGTCTGAAGGCATTCTGTGGGAAAAGTCTTCTCTAAACTTGAAAAAAACTGTAGCAGTTACTGAATGGTAACGAGGTTGTTTTTGTAAGCTGAGGCTTTCACAACTGTCTGCCCAAAACTGGCTGTTTTGCTTTTGCTTTAAAGAACAACAACCGGCAGACCAAAAAAGAGAGCAAGAGACTGTTTTGCTCTCTTTCAAAGTCAACGAGGGAACGAATATAGGAAAGAATACGGCGAATGTGTAGTGTAGTGTAGTGCATGTAGGAGTAAGGTGAATGAAGCAGGGTGGGTGTATGTCCTCATTAGTAGTTCTGATTTGTCATGTTCTAACTAACCAGTTCGTAGTCTCTCAGCTACCTCCTGCCGTGAAGGACTACTTACTTAGGCAATTTACCATGAATGTGCCCATTAATGTGCCCAGGAGAAAAAAAAAAAAAAAAAAAAAACTACTATGCAAGCGGAAAATAAAGGGAGCCTAACTTAAAGTTGTCACACACTTCCCAGATTTCCTGTGAAGTCTGAGCAGCTTTGACCCTACGCTGGATCCTCGTCCAGCTCCCATGCTTGAATCACTGCTGCCTGAGGCTCTTAGACTACTGCTGCTACCCCACCGTAAGGAAAACTCAAACTTCCATAAATCTTCTTGGAGTGACTTATTGCTCAGCCTGCATCAACATCCAGTTCTGGAGTTGTGTTGGATACCAAAAAAGAGCTTCTTCCATATGAGAAGCAGATCTCATCCTGCTCCAACACATTTTCTACGTTCATTTTCTGAGGAAAAAGCAGCTAATGGTTCAGGGCTGATGCTAGTGTCAGAGAGGGGTAGCCCTAACCAAATCCTAACCCTCCTATTACAAATCCCCTGGTGTTCCTTCCAGTGAAAACTTATCCAGTGTGTTTCCCTTTGGACTCTAAAACTTTGCTACATCTGGTTCACACAGCAAAGTGTTTCAGTATTTCTGACACTCTCCTTTAAAATACTGAGATGCAGGGAAAACTTGCTCTCCAAATAAGCGGCATCTGACGCCGAGATTAGGAGAGGCTATGCTGCTTTGGCAGGAGGATGTTCTGGCTTCCAAATTCCGCTTGTAGGTTGGCTGCAAATACTGCTGACATAGCAAGACTGTGCTATGTTCATACGCACATTCCAGCTGTAAAGAGAGAGAGGTAAATGAGGACGGACAGTTTGAATTGGTGCATGTTTGGCTGAAAGTATATTACGCTCAGTGGCCATAAAATCGTTTTTGGAAAGTGAAGAGAAACCCTGTTCTGATTATTTCTACTTTTTAATTTCAGAATTTCTGTCTCTTTACATGTTGTCCTTCTAGACTGTCAGTCGTCACTTCAGGAATATTCCTGTGAATGAGAAAGAGACGCTTGCGTATTTCATCTATATGGTGAAGAACAACAAGAGCAGGCTCGACCAGAAATCAGAAGGTAGCAAGCAACTAGAATGAAGATTAACAAGACTTGGAATAATAGACACCTTGAAGGAACAGATGGTATTGTGCATTTTAGGTATATAAAAACTGCTGAAGTATATTGTAAATTTTTTTTTTTAAATGCAGTAAGTCTGGATGACAGAAAAAAATACAGACATTCTTATCAGGAGTATTTGAAAACATGTGCCCAGCATGTTTCTGAAGACTTCTTCCCCTCATTTCAAAATCACATTGGAATAAAGAAATGAGGATAATGGGGAAACCAAGTAAACCTGTAGGACTGTGGAGTTTGTCAACTCGGTGTTTTAAACCATTTCTGGAAATCTGCATCTCAGTGCAATTCAGATCACAGATGGCATTTTTTCACTGAATTCAGACTGCATCACAAACCACCGTGCAGTTTGTCTTGACGCAGGACTGGAATAGCAGCAGAGATAAAATTCATAATTGAGGTGCGTGGGTCAGAAGTTTGTCTGAAGCTTGCTCCCCAGCTACACATGCTCTGTCTTGCCTTGAGTCAGTGCTTCAAGTCCCAAACTTCTACAAATGCTCCAGCTCACCAAATCTGCTCCAGTGAACACTAGTTGACTAGTGTGAAATTGATTTTTTTTTTTTAACCATTTTTCCTCCCACCTCCTTCTGACATGGATGCCAAACAACTCTCTGCAATCTCTTTTTCTAATTTCTTTTATTTAAGAACTCACTAATTAATTGTCTCTAAGCATTTTAAAACTTCTGCATTTGCTCAGAATGTGGTATTAAGGCAAATACAGTTTATTTGCTGGGTTTGATCATCTTGGCTGAAATGCTTGTTTAATTCACTTACGCGTATTTCTCTTGTATTCAAGGCTCAGTGATGGTAGGTGAAACAATGGCTTGAGACATCTGTCTCAATCTCTCTCTGTCAGATCAGGTATCAATCACAAGTGATGTGAATTTTATACTGAAGCTAGTCTTTAGCAGGTGTCACAAAACAGCTGTGTGGATTAGTGGGCTCGGCAGTCTCTGTTTAGTATAAAGCAGACTTAGGCTGATGGATGTAGCACCATAACCGGGGTAGTGAACTGACTGGAGCATGATGAATTTCACCTGTCTTTGCAATGGGCAAAAAGTATCGAAGCACTTGCCTTTCGTGAGCATTACATGTGCTTTTGTAAGAGCTGTGTGAGTGGAGGGTGACATCCTGGTGCTCTTTAACTGGGCGCTGTAGGAGGAGATCGCTCTGATTTTGTTATTTAAAGCCAAGGTGTCCTTACAAGTAACGCAGTGGTGGTTTTGGCAAAAGGAGCCTATAAAAGTGTTGGTTGTGACTGACTGTTCTCCAGTGACCTCAAATTCTATTCAAGGGGATCTCATGATTTAAAGCACCACTCTGTTTCTTTGGTGTCCTAACCAATGTCTCCATTCTGTTACAAGATGCCAAGACTCCACATAAAGAGTATATTCTCAACGAGCCTTAATCAACAAACCAAACAGTAGAAAACTTTGGCTAGCGTTTTGTCAATGGCAGGTTTTAATATTCCAAAACTGGATGAAGCTTTCTTGAAGAGCTAAACACGCAGATCACGATCCCAGCTTAGTACTGCATCATGTTTCGTAAAGCATAAAGGGTTCATGTAGTGAAGCTCTTGTTGAAGTTATCCCAGGGTCTTTTTAAAAATCAAGTCACAATTTAAAGCAAGCTGTTCACATCAGCTCTGAAGTGTTTGCTAATACTCCAAAAACATGTGCAACAAACTTCAACATGTCTAAGTCCTGTGTCATAGGCAGAAATACTCTGTTATGGTACGCGTCCCATTTGTGAGGTTTTGGGGAGTGTGGTTGTTTTGGCATTTCCTTGTTTGATTCAGTATGGATTTTAAGAGCATCAGCCAGGAGAGAGGTTCAAGGAATGAGGGGAGAATGTCTTGCGTCGGTATTTCATGAATGTTTAAAAATTTCCTAATTGCGCTGGTCCTTTCCTTATTGAAAGGGTGGAGTAATTCCCACATCAGTCAACGTGATCTGGCTTCTCTCATTCAGAACAGATAGCTAAAAGGGTACGTTCTCTGACTGCATGTGCATGTTCTCTGACTTCAAAGTGCTCATGTAATTGGAGGATATTACCAAGGGAAAGTGAGTTTCTGAGTTGAGAGGGTTATGCCTCATTGTATACTTCTAGACCAAAACTGTAAAAATGTAGTTTGTTTGGGGTTTACTTTTTTTTTTGTTGTGTTTTGTTTTGTTTCTAAGCGTAAATAAATCTGTTGGGGTGTGTTAGCAGCCAGCAGCAAAATTATTCTTTTCAAGGAAATATGGTGGCAGGTTCCATCTGTTCAGGTGTATTCACTGAAATGCTTTTGTGCAGAGGGTATCCAGGAAACTTTTTTTTTTTTCTGAAAATAGGCAATTGATGTGAAATGTGATCCTTGTTGGTTTCACTCTTAAAGCAATTATACTTTTTTGAAAAAATTGTTGGTGAAGTGTGATGAAGAGATGTTTACCAGCCATTAGCAGTTGTTTATAAGGTGGAAAGCTTGGAGGCAAGACACCAAAGAAACAGAAGAATCTTTGGCTGTCAGACCCCATGGCCTTGTAAACCCTTGCAAATGCCTTATTATCATGTTCTCAACTTAGCTAGAGCAAAACGCCTTGAGCAAAAGAAAGCCGATGTCTAGTTGGAAGGGTTAGCCGTGTTATGGCTCCCATGCTATAAACTGAAATCACACGTCAATTCAGTAGCAATATCCATGTTCAGGGTGCCTGTGATTCTTGAAAAGCATTTAGTGTCTAATAACCAGAAAACGCAACAATGCAATTGTCATTCTGTATAATACCATTCTGTGTATTTGATTCCTTATGCTGCATGCCAATTAAAAAAGACTTTCCAACTTTTTGTTTTAAACTTCAAAGTAAATGTGTTTGAACCTCACACTTGTGAAGCCATGAGGTGGGACATTTTCTCAGCACTTTTAGATGGGAATTGTTGGAAAGGTAGAAGACCCAAAATTGCTTTGGCTGGCATGATAAGATTTTTTTTTTTTTTTTTAAATTGTTTTGGCTGGGATTATAAAATTTTTTTTTTTTTTTTTTTTTTTTTGCCTTTTACATTTTGCTTTTCACAGATGGGCCTTAAATTCTGTCTAGCTTTGAACCATGGAGCACAAGCTTTGGGGGCATGGAGGATGACCAGATGTCATCTTCCATTTATAATAGTGGAAGCTTATTTCTTACAAGCCTGCATAGGTGACATTCACCCTGGGGCAGAGGAATCATCTTTGAAGCCCTCCAGCCATTATATAGCCTAATTCAATTACATAGCCTAATACAATTCTCATTGAAGAGTTGCATTAACTTCATTAGACTTCTGAATAGATCCAAAGCCATTAGTATGAAATCCAAATAATGCGGAAACATCTCTTCCGGGGTTAACTTCATCCTGTATGCTGACCCTCTGCTCACTTTAAGGGAAGAAGAAGAAATCATTGCTGGTAGTTATTGGCTTGAGCTCAACTGAAGGGAGGTGGAAGCATGCGAAGACTTGAGTCAGTGGCAATCTGATGGCTGAAAAGTGCAAATATTCCCAAGGAGGCTGTGTTAGAATGCAGGTTTTCTTAAACTTTCTGCATCTGAAAGAATATTGTATATCAACCTGAAGTAAACAATTGCATTAAAAGCTAATGTTTTCTTTTGCCGGGCACTTTAGATGCTCAGCCTGAGAAAAGCAGGGCGGGCAGGTTTGTACCACTTGTCCCCAGTACTCTGGTGTCCCAGTTTTTCTTAGAAATGTGGCTGTAAACCACCAGATAGCCTGGAGTGCAAGAGTTGAACAAAACATATCAAGTCTGGCATTTACAGTTAGTCTTAAGTGCAAGCTGGCTTCAGAGAGGCTTTGAAATCAAGAGCCAAAATAATCCACAGTAATTGCGAGTTTTCAAGCGGGTCATGGTGGCACAGAGAAGATGAAACAGGACATGGCCCACAGCGAGACTGAACAAAACACGCTTCCACAGTTAGGAACGCAGAGGAAGATTTGTTCTGTGTTAGCTCTTGTAATGGATGTTTTATGAGAGGGGAAGAAGGGGGGAGCTGTGCACTTTACGTCTTTTGGTTGAGCCTAATGTAAATACCAATGGGAGATCTTCATTGGTAACTGCAGAGAAATAGTCTGCTGGGGGACGGTTTATTTAAATTTGCGGATCGTTACACTTCCCCAGAGCACTAGAGTCACTTTGCCTCTGCAGTTTAAAAGAGTGGGTAATACAAGCTAGCCTCCTGTACAAAAGGAGCCCTTGTACTGCCCAGAGTATTGACTGAAGAGTCCCAAAGGTGAAGGAATGTTATTGATGCCTGACTCCTCTTGTCACTGATGCCCTTTAGCCATCTCTAGCTTATCAAGTTAGGGAGTTTTCCACTTTCAAAGTGCAAATGAACTGTTAGGATGTAAGATACTCCTTGCACTTTTCACAGCTATCCCTGGTCTCGCGTTTTTGACTTGCCTGTGAACGCATGTTTGGAATGAATTAAATGGTTGAAGAAAGTGTGGGGAGGGGAGAGGGGCTCTGCCTTAAACCTGAACTTCCCTTGCAAGCAGCTCTGCAGGCCATCGTGTACATCGGCAGGCTCCAGGAGCCTCTTACTTAGCCGAGCCCTGACAAGGCTGGGTTTGCTCCTGTCCTAGCCGCAGCTCCGCAGCTACAGCGCAGGGCAGGGGAATAGCAGGTAACTTGCAGAATGGCTTGGAGCCTTAGCGAGCTTATTGGGAGAGAAAAACTGTGTTCCCTCTTCTGTTTCTGGCCTCCATGTATTGTGCTGATCTTATGCCAAATGTTTTGGACACCTTGTATTTTTAACTGTGTAATATAGCTGTGTATTGTTAAAGCAACTTAGTAACTTATAGCAAAAACTGTAGAACTGATTTCTCTGAGGTGTAGGAAATGTCCTGCTTCCACTGTGTATGAGACTTTAACTCTGTACTGTCTGACAAAGATAAAATGCTGAATTTCACTTTAATAAATGATCTATCTAGCAATGAG